GGGCAAAGCTGGGGGGTGGGGGGGAAGGGAAGCCAGGAATGGGGAGATCTGTAAGTGTCAACAATAAAAAATAAAGTTATAAAATATAAATAAAACAAATAAATATGGCATACCAAAAGTCAGGGTGAAGAAGGAGCTTTCTTGGCGGCTCAATATAGATAGTTTCCCTTGACATGAAGGTTCCCTGCTGGCATATTCCAATTCCAAATTCTGACCAGCATGAACATCATAAATATCACTTTTCTCAGGGGAGCCCATTACTCTGAGATTATGATTGGGCTGCACCTTAGTGGGAACACCTAAAGCATTTTTTATTGTAAAAGGAGGCTTGTCTTTTAAAGAGTAGTCAAAAGTAGAAGCAGTGCCTTCTGAAAAACCCTGAAAAAGGAACACAACATCACAAGATAAAGTTTTTTTAAAAAAATTATACTATCACTATACATTTTAGAAACGACTTTTGATTACAAACAAAAGTAATCCATACATGTTTCAATTTTTAAATTCCATTTGAAATATTCCAAGCAAGAACCAAACATACCTTTGCTAAATTATTGAAAACATTGAGACAACTTTTGGATATTGTTATATTCATTGTATCTCCTGAAGAAATATGAACTGCTGTTTGTGGCTCAGGAAGAAAAATAAAATCATCTCCGGGCATCAAACTTTTATCCTGGACTGGATTCTTCTTTACCTGTGAGGATAAATAACATTAACAAGTTTAAGTTACTAGTCGATTAATAATAAAATTAAAATATTCTCAATAGAGTTAAATTCTCCTAAACTAATCACTTTATATTCAGAATCCCCTAGTCTCATTTTCAAAAATATTCAGTGCTTCAGTTTTATTTAGCTCAGATCAGCATTCTTTCTCTCAGTGTGTAGTCAAGGGCACGGAGAAGTGTTTAGAACTATGCCATGAAAGCACTCAAAGTCAACTACAATACTTGTCTCTTGTGCACTCCCCACAGCAAGCTATAACCCAGTGTTGCCTGACTAACTGGTTGTTGATGAGCAATCAGAGATGAACCTTAAGTTTAAACTGATCCTTGCTGGAGTTAATATCGGGAATTCCTTCTATTATTTTACCAGTAACACCTATAAATAAATAATATGATAAGCTTTCAATCAGACATCAGACTTTATCATAGCTTTTACTCTAATAACATTTCAAAAGCTTTGTAAAACATTCTTTGTTAGCCTGACTAGTCCAGTGAGAAGTAGGTCATAAATATTACTTCTACTTTACTGAGAGGAAACGAGGACACAGGTTAAGTGGCTTCTTGTCTTTAAAATAAGAATCTGTTGCAAAAGGTAAGATTTCCTTCCTTCTTTTTTACAGCCAACTAGTATTCCATCATGTAAATGTGCCATGGCTGTTTTATTCACTCATCTACTGATGGGCACTTGGGCTGTTTCCAGATCTTGGCTAATAAAATTTGGCAACAGCTTGGATGGACCTGGAGAATATTATTCTAAGTGAAATAAACCAGTCAGAGAATAACAAACACTGTATGAGCTCACTTATATCTGAAATATAATAAACAAAATAATTTAACAAATAAAACAGAAACAGAAGCATAGAAATGTAGAACAGACTGACAGCTGTAAGAGGGGAGGAGGGTTAGGAGGACGGGTGAATAAAAAGGGATTAAGCAAAAAACCCAACCCCTGATAGACAGACAGACAAATAGATAAACGTCACACATAGTCACAGACAACAGTATGGTGACAGACAGAGGGAAGGGGGGCGGGGAGGCTTAATAGGGTAGAGGGGAGATAACTGGGGACAGAAAGAGTCTTTACTTTGGGCGATGGGTGCACAAAGCAGTGTGCAGGTGATGTTTTACTGCATTGTAAACTTGAAACCTGTATGGTTTTGTTAAACAATGTCACTTCAATAAACTCAATAAAGAATAAAATAGTACTGCTAAGCCAGAAGCCAGGCCCACGGCTGGTGAGCTCAGCGGCAGTGGCAGGAGCCTCTCCCGGACTGCAAGAGGGTGCAGGCCAGGCTGAGGTCCCGTCCCCCCACCCGCTCCTCAGTGCACGAATTTCATGCACCAGGCCTCTAGTAAATAAATAATTTAAAATGAAAATAAATAAATAAATAAATAATGAAATAAGAATTGCCTGAGTCCATTTCAGTGCCTCACACTTCAGTCAGACTGCCAGAAAGGTGTGTTGTGAAATTTGTTAAGGGTATATCGTTCATGCTCCTGTTAATCTAGAAAAATGCACTTTGATATCTAGGCATCTGAAGTGTTCTCAAGAAGCACCATTCAGAGATAACACAAAAGAATTGTGAACTAGCATAGCAGTTCTCAAATCATTGAGGATTCCAAAGAGCTTCATGTTATGTAGATTATATCTATCAATGTGTACTCTATTAGAAACTAAAGCTATGGCTCTCTGTCTTTTGGCTAAGATCAAGTGTAGAAACTAAAACAGAAAATTTTAAATACTTATTTAAAAATTACAGTTACAAGTTAACATGGATAATATTTTAATAGAAAATAACTACTATAACTATATAGATGAAGGCCTGGAGGGTGGCAGAAGCTGGGTGGAGGGGGCAAAGGGAGGAAATAGGGGAAATCGGTAACACTCTCAACAATTAAAATAAGTTTTTAATTTTAAAAATAATAAAGCTATATAGTGAAAAGAGGGACACTGACAAATTGCTTTATTGCCTGCCCTAAGAGAAGTCAGGTGGATTCTCATTCCTGCCTCTGCTTTCATTCTGGTGCAATATTGCTTAGTCTCTGGAAAACTCCATAGTATGCTCATGAGAGAATGAGAAAGACAATGGTATGCATCATCTAAATATTGCTATGAAGAGTTTTGACCTTTTTGGACTCCCTAATAGGGCTCAAGGATCTTAGACCACATCTTGAGAATTATTTTTAAAATATGTATACAGAAATATACATAGTGTCATTCTACACAAAGATATTTTATGTTTTCCTTACATCAAGCCTTAAATTCCATTGTCTC